TGATTTTAATTGTTGAGAGAAATGAATGAGAAATTAGCGAAAGAGAACATTTTTGGTGGTAAAAGTTATGAGAGGGATTGTAAAAGCAAGGAAAAGAATGAAAACCCTGGTAGGCCCGGACGAGCTAATGATACTCAGAAAATAGGCAAATGAAGAGTGGTACTAATTTCCCGTTCCCGTCCATTATTTCTCGACACCTCCAAATTGACCCTAAATATGTAATTCCATCCCGTATGAGAACCACCCCTCTTAGTTATCATTACTAAACTGTACAATCCAATGGATTGCGCAGATGTTACTGATCGTTAGGAATGGTACCAACTCATCGGAATAGTTCTCCAGAAGTCGCTGATTATGAGCGATAATACCTGCCAACCGGGTAGAGTTGGTTGCATGAATGCAAGAGTTGTTTTCCCTGAACCATCTGGACCAGCCAAACCAATAAAATGCTCAGATTTGTCTGGAGCTGGAAACAAAAGTTAGGATTATATTCACGCTATTCGGAAATGGAACATGGAAACTTTCGAAGCTCTGGGCAATGAGAGTTTTGAAATTGAGGTTTAAAGAGTTCAAAGACCAAAAGGTGACTTGATGTTATCTTAAATGATCGATGTCATGTATACAGACCTGAAAGTGAAGATTGGCTGAGGAAGTTATTCTGCAGGAATCGCTGATTTCAGGGAATATGTGTATTTTCATAGACTAGGACGACGCTCAACTGTCTCAGTAGGTGGAACTAACCTGTAATCGCAATTACGGTCATACGCTCGGCTAGCCACCGTTCTCTTTTACCGACAAGAGAAGCCATTCGCAATGCAGCCTCTGTTTTGCAGAGAATCGCATCTTCGCATCCACAACCAACTGACCAAATTACACGCTTCTCAACGTCCAGTGCCATAAATTTTGCGTATGGTGCAAATGGCCACTAAACTATTTCACAAATATAAAAAATTGTCGATTGACTCGGCAAGAAATTGTTACAATTGATACGTTCATGAGCACCTAGATTAAACATTGCTTGCTAGCCAAAGCTAACTCTCTCAAACATCATGATGGCACGAGAAAGGAAAACGAGTCTTAAAAAGTTCCAAGGAAAACTACTAAAGATCAAATACATGACTGGTTTAGAAAGTGTCCAACAATGATGCAGCACTCATGTAAAGCTGAAGAAATCTGCAACATGTAGGAAAATATTACCCCTAAGGAACTGTTCGAAATCAAAATGTTGAGTTGTTCATCAATAATTGAGCTCTGATGGAAAGATGAAAATTTAGAGATACTTGGAAGCAAAACAAGCAGATCACAGATGCGTTTGCACAATTTGCACAATTGATAGACTAACTCACATTGGTGGTGGCGTTATTGAGGTTTACGGGTCGAGGAACACCAACTGAATGAACACACCCGATGAAATTCCCGTTTTCCATACTATCCCACACCGACGAGGACACCCTTCAATGATGTTTTCATCATATATTTGTAATGCACTTACAAGGTTTTATCGTGTAACTGAGCATTCCATTAAGTCTCAACAATTTCATTTCATTGCATCAAACAAAAATCTGATCAAACGAACACACCGTGCGCAAATACTTGTCATTATGGCCACATATTCACTATCGGTTATTTGGATGCAGTTGAGCGAGTTCTTTGAACCAATTGGACCCAACGAAAACGGTATTACGTACATTACACGACCTGAAGTTGTATGTTCAGTGGCTCGATTTATTTCGAATGAACACACAATGTTTGACCCGTGAAAATTTTGCATTTATACCAAACAATGAATTTGCAGTCAGTCAAAAGACTCAATTTTAAGTGGAGTAAATGAATTTGCTAAATGAAAAAATGAACAAATACGATCACTCAAGTGATCATCACACCGATTAAACGACCAACCAAACATAGCTGCGCTAAAACGATCAACGAGCTCGAGATTAAAAGTGACCGGCGACATCCATTTCGCAAATCTCGGTATCACATCATGAGTTCTGCAAGCTGCAGTCATCATAATCATTTTACATCGTCATCAACATTCGACTATTTCTCGTTTAAGAAGATTCTCCATGAAAAGTGTTGCTTCTATCTAGTATGACTATTTCAAGACACGGCTTACCAGTTTTGGCTTCCAATTATTTTCGTAGATCTGGCTGTACAAGTTAATTTTATATTTACTCACGACAGCATTGTCCACATTCTCAGTGCTCGAAATTACAACGTGAAGATCAGTTTGCTAGTGGATATGAGGTGATTTTGAACGACGTAGATCACTTTGGGTGAGCTGAATTAGCAGGGTGAGTACTCAACCTTGTTTCGAGACGTTCTCGCTTTGGAGTAACGATATTCTGTTGGTAATTCTGCGCTATGGCATCTCGTGGATCTGTCATCACTAAATAGCACTCTCTGAGGGCTTCTAGTTGTTTCATGAATCCTTTCCGTTGCATATTCTCGATGAAATTCGTCCTCTCCTCTTGCGATCCATCACAGATGCAAATCGCACGTGGCCGCATCAGTTTTGCTTTTCTAGCTACGAATAACTGTAATCATTTTCTTTTTCTAGTGCCATCCTAACGAATCGAATCGAATCAATTCGGATGGGCTGAAATTACAAAGTGCTTAAGACCAATTACGAAAGGTATGCAACTACAGAGCATGGTTTATCGCGTTGATATTTGGCTAGAACCATGGTAGCGCACTGAGCACAGTCTTGTTTCCTTCTTATTCAACATGCTATAGCGTTATCTAATTGATCGCAAATCATGATCAAAACTCAACATACTTGAGCTTCACTAGGCAATATCCTTGGATCGCCTGCAATCACCGGAACTGCACCATAACCATTGATATAGAATTCAGTGACAAGACGAAAATCACTCGCTTTCAGACATCGTTGTGAAATATTTCGCTAGAATAATTACTGCCTAAGGATCTCATTTACACCATCACTGATGTAGTGTGGAAGGGAATTTTAGCAAGGAATTACATTTTGCATTCTGCACTATTTAAGACAGTACATCTTTACCAAACGAGTTGTCATTTATCAAAACAAGTGCCGATTATGCGACAGCAAATACCTACCCGTCGTATTCTTCGTTTTTTCGTGATCTTCTTCCTCGCCATTCTATAGACATACAAGCCATCTTTGGTATCGGGAAGCGTTGAAGCTGAAGGAAGCATGCAAGTCAAGTCTCTTCTGGTGCGATATAACTGTGCTCTGGTTGGCTGTAGATAAACGAGTTCAAATCTGATATCATGACCAAAGAGAACTGAACTACAGTAAGCACAGGTGTTTCTGATTAGAAGTAATTTCTTCACTCTAAGCACATATTCAGCCTCTCTTAATCACGATATTGCGATGATGGTCGATTTCCTCGCTCAAAATTGAATTTAGCACTCCTTTTAGTTTAAGCAAATGATGAAGAAATAAAATCCGAGCTCACTGAAACCAACTCGATGACTTGCTAGAACTACTAACACTGCGGCAGGTCGAGATCATCTGACCGCTTCAGAAACCCAATCAAAAGGAAAATAACTTCATAAAGTTTGAAAAATAACGCCAGACATTCCATCAAGTTTGCATATTCCTCTCCGCAGGATTTTTTGATTTTTAATCATGTAAATTTTCGTCAAATGCAAATGTGATTCAAATGTATTCAGAAAATGTTGATGACGTTTCATGGCAATTCATCATTATCAATGGATTTCCGTTAATGCTTTCGTTATTTGAAATTGATAGAGGTCTCATCAGAACAACTGATCTGTAGATCACGAACAGAAATTTTGATCGTATTGTCATCAAAACTGCATATGTTCAATTTGTATTCAGGATCAAAATTGTGAGAATCCATTGTGGTCTGCGCTGATAAGGTGCGATTACTCGTGACAATGCAGATTAAAATTGTATTCCTTGCATGAAAAATGATCAACAAACAATGCTTATTTATAGAATAATACAATGAAAAAATATGATATTTACAGTCGATGACCCGTTGTCTCAACTGACACTGACGTACAGAAATAAGAGAACAGAAGATTGGCATTAGTTAATGAAATTAATAACACATATTAATCGACATCGACATCAATCTCAGCCATTGAAAAGCTAATAATTTGCATCCCTTTTGCGGTCCATTTGAGACACTTTTTGAAGTGGTACAATTGATAGTCTCGTCACTTTCAAGTAATTGGAAACTTACTGGTCAGAACTCGTACACAGTGGTGCTATGGACACTGACAATGGGTAACTGGCGGGTGTTGTTGAGAGAATTATATGATGGAATCAGTCAATCAAAACGATTAGGAAAAAATTCATTTCGAAAATATTGAATAAGGGGATCTGGAGATTAAGACAAATGAGTTAGTATTGGTGGAAAAGTTGAGAATGATTGGCAACGAGAAGGCACATAAAATTAACATCATGCATTAACTTAATTAACAGTTCAATTAAGAGTTCAGTAATCAAATTAAACAGAAATCTTAACAACAACAATGACAACAACAACAACAACAACACAACAAAACAACAACAACAATGAAAGCAACAACCATCAAACAACAAACAACAGATCAACACAAGCATCTGTAGGTATTCACGAGATAACATTAAGTAGTTGGTATGAAATGCTGAAATTGCATTGCAAATATTCATTCTCCTAATGTTGCTATTGTTACACGATAATGAACTGCGATGACACAAACAACAATTTCAAAGGATCACTTCACACAGCACAGTTCAGGAATTGCAATTATCAAGTCAATTGAAAAACACTCTGAAAGATGAATAAAATGGTCATGCTCCGGATGATTAAATTTGTGAACAACCAACATAAGAAAGTAAGTGAACTGAGCATAGAAGTGTCAATCAAATATCGCACACTTGTAGATGCATAATGGAGAAGATCATTGGAATTGTTCACATGGCGCTGACTGAAAATCATCGCATGGCACATGAAGCATATAAAGTTTTCCTGCATCTTGTGGTCCATGAACAGCATACAAATGATGTTCTTGAGGTGCGAATGTTTCCATACAATATTTAACCTGATTGTTTTTTATTTAAAGAACAATAATTTGAGAGAAGAGCAAACACAGAAATTTACTGGACAAGGAAACAGCCGTATGAAGTTCCGANCAACAGAACAAACATAAAACAGATGTGGAAGCGATAGAATTTGAACAAATCTGCAAAGGGTTTTGTTACGTTTATTAAAGAAAGCCGAAGTTCCTTGCAAAAAAAGATGCAACGCAGCAGAAGAAATTTGGATCACTTTAGTGGCAGGGATTGAAACAGGGAATATGACTTCCCTTTAATGGTTCAGTATTCCGCCAACTAAAGTGTACAGTAAAACCCAACAAAAATTCTCGAAAATGCGGTATTAACTGCTGACAAATCATATACCTTATTGACAGGTGATGTATGGGACTTACTGATTGGAGTGTCAGGAAGAAACGATGCTGCAAAAAGTATCGTAGAACATGAGTGTACTGATGTGCTGCTGCGATAAGTGATCAAACAAAGGTAATCATATGGATAGAAAGAAGTGAAATAAATTAATTCAAGTACCCTAACAGGAAAGAAGGCTGCTCGAAATCAGGATAGCAGTCAAGAACTGAATCCAGAACTCATAGGGAATCCTCAGGAAAACCGAAGCATGCTGAAGGCAACCAATCTGCAAGTGTCTGAGAATACATTCCGAAGTGCATACTGATAGACCGATATGACACGGTTATGCTGGCGATCAATAGATCAGAACGCAAATGAGATGCAATAGAATGGGTTGATTCGGTCTCACAATCACCTTTTCCATTAAATTAACGATCTCACAATGAAACTACCGTTTGGGGAGAAATTTTCATTCGTTTTTTAGAAGAGTTGCGCGTTCCATCTTCGATTTCTCATAACTGTACAGAGAATGTGTTTGCAATGAGTGGTTCGGCTGGAAGTTGAAGCAATTCACAACAAACAACTAATTCAGCCTTGAAATATGTTATCGAAAAGGTACCACGAAGTTAGAGATTATATTCCATTATTACGACAAATATGACGTTATTAGTCGAACATACCTGTAACCGAACACCCAAGCGCACACAATCGAGAACTGTTACATGAAACTGCTCTTTCAACTAGAAGCGAGCGATTTACAGGAATGAGTAATAAACTCACAATCAGAGAGGAATGAACTGATTACTGATAATAAGCGCACCTGAGGATATAATTTACCAAGCTGAACAAATATAGTGGGGAGTCAAGCGAGTTACTGAAACGAGAAGGCATTCGACGAATGAAATCTGATGGTATAAATGGAAGAACGGAATGAATATTCGAAGCAAGTATTTACAGTGACAGAAAGGATTGCTTCTAAATGATACATGAGCGCACTGTTCAAATTTAGAAGGAAAACAAGCTCTGTGCAAAAGTTGCACTCTGATTTCATTTAGAAGCATTTCAATCATGCAAAGCGGTTTTTATCACATGCGAGAAACCAAGCAGGAAGCCTCTGAAAACGGATAAAACCAAGCAATTCGTGAGTTGAGTTAAAGTTCTGCATTATTTGATAATCAACAGCAAGGAAACATTCTTCTTATGAATCAACGGTACAATATTCTGTTTGTTCAAAAAAAAATGGAATAACAGTTCATAAACATAGTTGAGTTTCTCTCAACAAACCGTGAAGATTGCGGGCAATACAGTTGCACCTGACAAGGAGCGTCTAAACACCAAGCGGACCGCAATAGAAATAGAGCATTCAACGTTAAACCCGTCCTCGTTAAAATGAGTAATTAATGAGTGCCGTCAACAATCGCCCACTTCACTCACCCCATTCAAAACAGGCAATAGTACCATTCGCAT